CAGGTTTTAGTGTTATCAACCAGACTCCCAGTGCACAGCAGTCTGATCCACTCCAGGTGTTACAGTGCTGTCAATCAGATTCCCGGTGCACAGACATCTGAATTCAGAATTTACACACAGAATTTAAACTTTTTTGTAAACCCTGGGGAAATTCAGCTGAGATAGGGTGCGGTGCCGTTACAGATCTGGTGTCCAGTACTGGCTCTTTTAAAACCTGGCTCCCGGCGAGACAGGGGCTTAGGCGGGGGTGCACACATACTCACTTGTTCTCCTTGGTCTCGAAAAGGCGCCTCTCGATCAGATTGGCCACCGTCTGCAGGGGGGGGGGAGACAGGAAGGGAGACGGAGAGCGTGAGCCGGCGGCGGGTGGGTCACCTGACAGGAAGTGGGCCGAGGACCGGGCCTGGGGCAGACGCACCCCGTACCTTGTAGCAGTGCTGCAGGAGCATCCGGGCGGTGGGCAGGGGGTTCACCGTGTACAGGTAGAAGGTGCGAGAGGGGGCGTGGTCAGGGGTCTTGGGGATCTCCTGCAGACCGACAGCGGCGGGGGGCGGGAGTGATTATCTGCACGGGGTTTGGAGGCAGCTTGCCGAGACACGACGCGTCCAACAGCAATCACACAGCCCCCCCCACATTCACAGAGCTCCGCCCCTACACCTCGCCACCCCTGAAGGGCAGCCCCTCTGCAGGACCCAGCCGCCGCAGCAGGCGAGGGAAGCAGGAGGCCTGTCTGGACAAACCCAGGACACCAGGGTCAACAGCCCTACCCTACCCCGACCCACGGACAGCCACGGACGGCGCCGGGCAGCAGGACTCGCCTGGAGCTGCACCAGGTTCTCCGACAGCATGCGGTACATCATCTCCTTCGCCTCCTTGGCGGGGATCATGGCAAAGTCCTCCACCTGCTTCTGCTCCAGGTGCCTCTTCCGCAGCAGAAGCCGGAAGATCCGCGCCGACCGCGAGCCGAACCTGCGGGGGGGGAGGGGGGGGTAGAATCCCGCACACCTGAGCGTGTCTGGTTGGAGGGCCCCCCCACACCCCGAGCGGCACGCGGGCGATCGGCCTCACCTCTCCTGCACGGCGGACTCCAGGGTCGCCCGCGCCAGGTTGGTCAGGGCTCGGTGCAAATCTGAGACCGCGGGTCAAGGGCGACGATGACGACAGGGAGAGGGCAAGACGCACAAGCAAGGACACGGGGCCGAGGGCCCAGGGCCACGCAGAAGGATACTGATGACAAACATCCCGCCCCCACTGTCGCCCGACTTCCCCACGAACTCCATCTGTGCAGAGGAGACAGAGAGAGAGGAAGGTCTCCAGCGTCATCGTCACCACTGTCTGCATCAGAGCTGGAGAGTCACTGTACAGACACTCAGTCCAGCTCCTCTGTATCTTCATCATCATCAGAGCTGGAGAGTAACTGTACAGACACTCAGTCCAGCTCCTCTGTATCTTCACATGAACACTCCTTCATCATCATCAGAGCTGGAGAGTCACTGTA